GGGAATGGAGCACCCTGAGTGCCACCTCCAGGGCCATCATCACAGCAGGGCACAGCACTGCGGTGACACTGCGGTGACACTGAGGTGACCTGCCACCCCCAGCCCTTCTCTGCCCATTGAAGCCAGCAGATATTTAAATTTAACCTTATTTAAATACAAGTAGGAGTTTGAAGATAATCCTAATGGGAACTGCTGGTTCTGGGCCTGGAGAGTGGAGCAGCCCCATTGTCCCCAGCAGGACAGCAGAGCTGGCACAGGGAGGGGAGACCTGAATCCAACAAACCCCTAAAAACCCCCAAAGCCAACATCCCAACTTTGTTAGGGCTTAAAAACTCACCTGGCTTTGGGACTGACCCTTGGTCCCGACCTCCCAGAGCCTCCTCCAGCTCATCTGGCTCTGGGATCAGTGGGTTGTGATTGTAGGGCTGGTCTCTGAACCCTGGGATCGTTTGGGGTGGGTTTGGGGTGGGTTCGGGGTGGTTTTGGGGTTAATTTGGGGTGGGTTCGGGGTGGGTTTGGGGTGGGTTTGGGGATGGGTTCGGGGTTAATTTGGGGTGGGTTTGGGTGCCTGTGGGTGCTGTGGGTGTGTTCAGCTGCCTCCCATCCCGGGAATGCCGGGGCTCCCTGTCCTGGCTGTAATTGCAGGGTTCCCTGAGCCGGATGTAAACACTGCAGGTGTTATTGCAGGGTCTCCATGGGGCCGAGCCAGGCGCTGCTGCCCCCCAGGGATCCCACGGGGACACAGAAAAGGGACACTGGGCAAGGGGCTCCTCGGGACTGGGACACCCTGGGGACAGGGGCTCCATCAGGAGGTGACAGGAACCCCTGGGGACAGGGGTGGCACAGGCAGGGTGCCCAGGGTGGTGCCATCCCGGGACTGGCAGGGCTCTGGGTGGGGGTTCCCAGGGTGGTGCCAGGCTGGGGCAGGAACAGGGGGTTCCCTCTTCCCTCCCTGAAGGGGAACTGAGGCACGAGGCCAGAGGAGGTGACTCGGAGCTGCCAGATCTGCTCCTGTCACCGCCCTGGGGCCATGCGGGTGACAAAGAGGGGTGGCAGGGTGACACCGAGGGGACCCCGCCAGGGCACAGAGCCCCTGGGGTGGCACAGGAGCAGGGTGAGTGCCCTGGGGACAAGGGGGGCTTTGGGGACGAGGGGGATGAGGGCAATGGGTGTTTTGGTGGTGCCTGCCCTTTGGGGACAAGGGGGGTGACAGTTTTTGGGGGGACAGGAGGGACAGGGGGGATGTGTGCCAGCAGGGACGAGTGGCTTGGGGAGAGCAGCAGGACGGGAGGGTCCTGTCCCATAGAACTGGGGGGGACAGGGAGACAAAGGCAGTGAACTGGGGGGGGGGGGGGGGGACAACAGGGGACAAGGGCTGTGAATTGGGGAGGGGGATCCAGCATTCCGTCTGCCACCCCCTCTGTGTCCCGTCCCCCCCTCCCCGGGGTTTATTTCGGCGTGACGCGCGATCCTCCTCGCTAGGAAACCGTTCTTAATATGCAGATGAGCCTGGATTTAATATGCAAATCACCATGCGGCTCTGGCCGGCCACCAGCACCGGCGGCGTGCTGGAGGGGACGCGTCGGGGCACCCATGGGTGGCACCCGGGGGGGATCGAGGGGGCTCCCAGCAACTGGGGCCACCTCTGGGCACCCACGGTGGGTGACAAAGCCACCCAAGGTGACCGCGGGGTCGGCACCACGGTCCGCACCGGACGCCCTCGGTCGCTGGTGGTGTCCTGGGGGGCTCGGAGCCCGCGTCCCCACCCGGTGGGCGATGGGGAGGGGACGGGGACAAGGGACAAGGGACGGGGAGCGGGGCTATAAACGGCAGCTGTAAGCGGAGCCGGTAACCGGAGCGGGAGGCCCGGGGGGACATTTGAGCCGCCGGCGGGGCCGTGGAAGCGCCAAGGTAAATGGTGGGTGCTGTGTCCCCCCCCGGGGACCCCCCCGTCCCTGTCACCACGCGGGGACCCTTCCGGTGCTTGTGTTCCCCCGTCCTCTCGGCAGCTCCGCGGCTCTGGGGGTGCTGCCCGCACCCGCTCGCAAAGGGGGGGACCCGCGGCAGGAGACGGGGACGGGGACAAGGCCAGCGCGCGGTGCCAGGTGGCCGGGGTGACATTTGCTCCGTCCCTGCCGTGGGGGACAGCTGCTTCCTGGCTCTGCCATCTGAACCGGCCCCGGAACGGAAACCCGGGGGGGGCTCAGCCCCCCAGCCCCGGCGGCAGCAGCAGCTGGGATTGGGGGGGGGGGGGGAACTTGGGGGGGCTCTGCCGGTGACCCCCAAACCCCTCTGTGCCAATGGGGGTGGCACCGTGTGACCCCACGGAGCGAGTACCGGGGGGTCACATTTTGGGGGGCTGGAGCATGCGGGGGGTGTGTAAATATCTCATTAGCATAACTAATTACTGATTTCTTATTGGCGTTGGAAGGAAACGACCCCAAAATCCGGCATTAGACGGACGGAGAGGGATGTGGGCATTGAGATTACACCAGGAAGGCAATTCCCAAAAAGTTGAATTTTCAGGGATTTCATTGTTGGTGTCCTGCGCCTTTGCCACCCCCCATCCATCAGTGTGTCCCCCCTTTCCCAGACCGTCCCCTTCCCAATGTCCCCCCCATTCTCCAGTGTCCCCCCCTTTCTCAGTGTCCCCTCCTTTCCCACTGTCCCCCGTCCCTCCCTTCTTGGTGTCCCCCCCATTCCCGCTGTGTCCCCCCCTCTTTCCCAGTGCCCTCCTAGGGGGTTTATGAGGATGGGGGACCTGCTTGGGGTGTCCCCGCTGTCCCCCTGTCCCTGCTCCGTGGCCGGGGGTGTCTCACGGGTGGCTCCGTGCCGCTGCTTCCCCGTGGGGACGCCGCGGTGCCGCTCGGGGGGGGTCCCACGGGTGCCCCCCCGGTGACAGCTGCCGGGGCGGGGGGGGGGGGGTTGGTGGCTCCGGTTACGGTGACATCAGCCCTACCTTCCCACCTGGCGCGGGCGGGGGGCACGGGCCCCCTCCCCGGGGGTCGCGGGGGGTTGATGTGACAGCTGAGCGGCTCTCGGGACGCCGGGGCGTCCTGGAGGGGGGGGGGGTGGCACCCCCGGGCATGGGACCCCCCTGCCAGCGCAGGGGACAGCGGTGACACCGGGCGGCGGCGGAGGCGGCCGGAGCAGCTCAGGTGGGCAGAGCGCGGCGCTAAGGGGGGGCAGGGGGGCGCGGATGGCACGGGAAGGGCTCCCACACCCCCGGGAAGGGACGGGAAGGGGGGGCCCCCCCGGCAGGGACACCCCCTCGGTGGGATCAGAGATCCCACTGCGCTCAGAGCCGCTGGGATTGCGGCAAGAGGGGGAACGCTGGGGCTGCCCCCCCTTTCCTGCCCCAGTCCCCAGTGCCGGGGGTCGCGGAGATGCTGGGGAGGGGGGGGTGGGACAGGTCAAGCAGCTCCCCCCGCCCCCCCGAGCTTTGTGTGTGGGGGTGAGGGCTGAGCGTGCCCTGCGCTGGGGAAACTGAGGCACGCAGCAGGGACAGGGATGAGGGCCATGCCCGAGGCCGCTCACCCGCTGCGTGTCGGGGATACCCGAGTGCAGCCCCCCCCTCACCCCCGGCACATCCCCCTGTCCCCCCCACGCTGCCTCAGTTTCCCCACAGCCACGCTGGGCACCGTCCCCCTGCTCCGCCGCCGCCGCCGTGAATGGGTCCCTGTTTGTCACCCCCCTGTGGCCGTGTCCCCCTCCCCGCCGTGCCCCCTCCTCCCCGTGCCCCCCTCTTCCCGCTGCTGCCTTTTCTTTTCCCGCACAATCGCCGGCATTTATGGCGCCGGAGGCTCCGCTTACCCTGCGCCGCTCGCTGTCACCACCCGGCTGGGGACGGTGACACCGGAGCCCCGCTCGGGGTCCCCAGGCTGCGGCGCGGCCCCCCCGGCCCCCGAACCCCCCGAGGATTCTCAGGTGGCCGATGGACACCGAGCCCTGCCCTGGGGTGGCTTTTTGGGGTCCCCTTTCCTCCCTCCGGCGCTTGGTGGCTTTCGGGTGCCGCCGTGTGACAAAGCGGGCACAAACAGCTCATTTCCTGCTTCTTGGGGACACCGTGGGGACAAAGCTGGGCGTCACTGGGAGCTGTGGCACTGCGGGGACGGGTTTGGGTGTCCCTCAGACAGTGGGGACGTGGTTGGGTGTCCCAGGGGTGGTGACACCCTGGGGATGGGGTCAGTTGTCCCCAGGGGCTGTGACACCAGGGTCGGGTCCCACTGGGGTCACCTCCTGCCCAGGGCTGTGACACAGCAGGGTCGGGCTCAGATGTCCCCGGGGCTGTGGCACCGCAGAGGGGACGGGTTGGGGACAGAGCCGGGTCTCACGCGGGGCCGGTGACACCACGGAGGGGCTGGGGACGCGTCCCGTGACCCCCAGCGCCCACAATGTCACCGTCCCCAACCCCGCACAGTGTCACCGTCCCCAACCCCGCACAATGTCACGGTCCCCAACCCCGCACAATGTCACCGTCCCCAACCCCGCACAATGTCACCGTGCCCGCTCCCCGCGGGGGAGGAGGGCGCCGCTTCGATCGCTCCCGCTGCCGGCTCCCATGGAATTAATGATCAATTAATTCCCTGCCCGGCTGCTAATTACCCAGCCCGGCCCCAGCCCCTCGGGGACGCGCGGCAGGTGGGGATGGTGGCCCGGCGTGGTGAGGGGACAGTGGCGGTGGCACCGGGGCTGTCTGCATGGGGGGGGTGCTGTGACGCTCTGAGGCGTCCCGGGAGATTTTCCAAGACATCCCGGTGGCGTTTGGGGAGTGGGAAGAGCCTCTGTGGCTTCCCTCTTGTCCCCCTGTCTCTCTGTCCATGTGTCCCCATGTCCCCAGCCCTGCCGTGTCACCGGCAGCGCCTTCCCCACGTGCTGCCGGTGACAAAGCCCCAGCACGGCCCCAATCCCCGCAGGTTTAGGGTGCTCCGGGGGGGTTCCCGGTGGGTGCTGCCCCTCCCAGCCCTGCCCGTGCCCGCAGGTGCGGTGGGTGCCCGGCCAGGGCGGGGGCCACCATGGCACCCCCAGCCCGCGTCCCCCTGGTGCTGCTGCTGCTGCTGGCGGCCGAGAGGACGGCGAGGGGCACCTTCCCCGAGGAGCCCGGACCCATCGCCGTGGCCTCCCCAGACTGTGAGTGCCCACCGGGGCTGGGGGGAGCGGGGGGGCTGCCCTGGGGCATGGGGGGCACGGCCTGGCATGGAAAGGGAGAGGGGCTGGGGCATGGAGGGCACTGGGGCATGGGGGGCACTGGGGTATGGAGGGCACTGGGGTATGGAGGGCATGGCCTGGCATGGAAAGGGAGAGGGGCTGGGGCATGGAGGACACTGGGGCATGGAGGGCACTGGAGCATGGGGGGCACGGCCTGGCATGGAAAGGGAGAGGGGCTGAGGCATGGAGGGCACTGGGGCATGGGGGGCACTGGGGTATGGAGGGCATGGCCTGGCATGGAAAGGGAAGAGGGGCTGAGGGGTTTGGGATTAAGAGAAAAGGGGGCACCCAAGGGAGGGTTTTGGAATAGGAGAGGACAGAACCAGGGCTGGGCTTTGGGGTGCTTTTAGGGGTACCTATGGAAAGGGTTTTGGGGTGCTTTGGGGTCAAGGCGGGTGGGAGGCACTGGTGGGGAGGGTTTTGGGCTGATGGCAGGAGGGAGGTGACCCGGGCTGTGTGGGGGTGCCCGGCCCCGTGTGACCCCCCCGTGCCCCCCCAGATGTGAAGCACTACCCCGTGTTCGTGGGGCACGGCACCGCCCACCCGGGGGGCCCCGAGGGGGCGGGCACCCAGCGCCTCAACATCCAGCGCATCCTCAAGGTCAACAGGACCCTCTTCATCGGGGACAGGTCTGGAGCTGGCACCCCAAAGCCTCCCCTCCACGGGGGGGGGCACCCCACACCCTCCCCACTCCTCTCTGCTGGGGAGGACCCTGCCTGGGGCACCCCAAAATCTGCCACGGGGCACTGGGGGGGTCACCGGCACTGACACTGCCCTGGTGATGCTCATTGTCCACCCCAGCACCCCAAACCTTCCTCATTGTCCACCCCAGCACCCCAAACCTTCCCGGGGGGGGTGGGGGTGGATCCCGTACCCCCAATGCTGAGGGGCACATCCCAGCTGGGGGGTGGTGACACCCGTGTCCCCCTCCCCAGGGACAATGTCTATCGGGTCAGCCTGGAGCCCAGTGGGGCTGCTGAGATGCGCTACCACCGGGTAAGTGCTGCGGGTGCCAGGGGGTGTTGGGGGGTCCCGGGGGCTGCTGGGGGTCTCAGGGAGCTCTGGGGGGCTCAGGAAGCTCTGGGGGTCTCAGGGAGCTCTGGGGGGCCTCAGGGGGGGTCTCACGGGGGTGCTGTTGCCTTGTCCCCATGCCCACACTGCTTTTCCCCACCCAGAAGCTGACGTGGCGCTCGAACCAGCATGACATCAGCATCTGCAGGATGAAGGGCAAGCACGAGGTACAGCTGTGGCATCTGCACCCCTGGGGACCCCCGGCTGGGGGCTGAGCACCCTCTGTGGCCGTGTCACACGCTGTCCCCTCCCCAGTGTCACCACGCCACTCCCTCCCAGCGGCTGTGTCACTGGTTTATTGGCTGATCGGCTAAATTGATTTGGAATCAATTATTGGGGGCCAGAAATCCCATTCCCAGCTCCCATAAATGCGGTTCTGGGGTGAGAACAGCCCCCTCCAAGCCATCCCCTGGCAATGATGAGGGTCTGGGTGGGGTGGGATGAGGTGGGGGGGTTTTGGGGTGCTGAGGGTGACGGTCCCCTCTCCTGGCACAGGCAGAGTGCCGAAATTTCATCAAGGTGCTGCTGGTGAGGAACGAGAGCCTCCTGTTTGTCTGTGGCACCAACGCCTTCAACCCCGTCTGTGCCAACTACAGCGTGAGCCCCCGGGATGGGTCCCTGTGAGGGAGGGGGGCTGCGGTCAGGGGAGGACAGGACACCCCTGGGAAGGGTTTTGGGGTCAGAGAAGGAGGGGGCACCCATGGGAAGGGTTTTGGGGTCAGGGAAGGAGGGGGCAATCATGGGAAGGGTTTTGGGGTTAAGGAAGAAAGGGCACCCATGGGAAGGGTTTTGGGGTCAGGGAAGGAGGGGGCAACCATGGGAAGGGTTTTGAGGTCAAGGCAGAAAGGGGCACCCATGGGAAGGGTTTTGGGGTTAAGGAAGGAGGGGACACCCATGGGAAGGGTTTTGGGGTCAGGAAAGGAGGGGACACCCATGGGAAGGGTTTTGGGGTGAAGGCAGAAAGGGGCACCCATGGGAAGGTTCTGCAGCATCAACACCTTCAACCCTGTCTGTGCCAACTGCAGCCAGAGCCCCCCTGGGGATGGGGACCCCGGGTCCCCCCCGTGCCCGGGTGTCCCCTCACGTCCCCCTGTCACCTGCCCTAGATGGACACGCTGGAGCCCATCGGGGACAACATCAGCGGCATGGCCCGGTGTCCCTACGACCCCAAGCACGCCAACGTGGCCCTGTTCACAGGTCAGTGGTGGCACTGCCGGTGTCACAGCGGGCCCCGTGTCCCCCAGCCCCGCTGACACCCTGTCCCCTGCAGGGGGGATGCTCTTCACCGCCACGGTGACGGATTTCCTGGCCATCGACGCCGTCATCTACCGCAGCCTCGGGGACAGCCCCACCCTGCGCACCGTCAAACACGACTCCAAGTGGTTCAAAGGTGTGTCCCCACCCTGGGCCGTGCCAGGACAGGGCACGTGTCCCCTGCGACCCCAGGCTGGGCCATCCCTGACCCCGCTGTCCCTGCAGAGCCCTACTTCGTGCACGCTGTGGAATGGAGGAGCCACGTCTACTTCTTCTTCCGGGAGATCGCCATGGAGTTCAACTACCTGGAGAAGGTGGGGCACGAACCACTGGGAGGGAGATTCACAGAATTCACAGAATTCACAGAATCACTGGGTTGGAAGAGACCTTAAAGGTCATTGAGTCCAACCCAGCCCCAACAGCTCAACTGAACCCTGGCACCCAGTGCCACATCCAGGCTTTGTTAAACGCACCCAGGGATGGTGACTCCACCACCTCCCCGGGCAGAACATTCCAGAACTTTCTCACCCTTCCTGTAAAAAACTTTTTCCCAATATCCAGCCTATATTTCCCTTGACACTAGAGGATCCCATTGCTCCCTTCCAACCCAAACCATTCTGGGATGCCCACAGGGACACCCAGGGTGGGGACAGGGACACAGGGGTTGGGTGGGGACAGGGACACAGGGGTTGGGTGGTGACGGGTGTCTCCCCACAGGTGGTGGTGTCACGGGTGGCCCGGGTGTGCAAGAACGACATGGGGGGCTCGCAGCGGGTGCTGGAGAAGCAGTGGACCTCCTTCCTCAAGGCCCGGCTCAACTGCTCCGTGCCGGGCGATTCCCACTTCTACTTCAACGTCATCCAAGCCGTGACGGACATCCTGGAGCTGGACGGGCGCCCCGTGGTCCTGGCCGTGTTCTCCACGCCCACCAACAGGTCAGAGCCTTTTGTGCCCTGCCCAGACTGCCTGGGCTCAGTGGGTCTGAGCTGGGTGCCAGATGGGGTCTGAATGGAATCCCTGAGTGGGATTTGGGATGGGTCCTGGACAGGAAATGGACTCGTTTCCATTTGGGATGTGCAGGGCCCCTGGCTCTTGCTGGGGCCTCCCCGTGCTCACCCCACAGCCGTGTCCCCACAGCATTCCCGGCTCCGCCGTCTGCGCCTTCGACATGACCCAGGTGGCCGCCGTCTTCGAGGGACGGTTCCGGGAGCAGAAATCACCCGAGTCCATCTGGACACCCGTGCCAGAGGACATGGTGCCAAAGCCACGGTGAGGGACAGGGCTGGGGACAGAGCTGGCAAGGACTGTTAGCGGCAGGGACAGTGGTGGGACTGGGGAAAGGAACAGGGATGGGGACAGGGACAGTGGCAGCCATTCTGCTGGGGTGGGGACAGGGGTGATGACAACCACAGCCAGTACCAGCGGGGCTGGGGACAGGCTGGGGACCCGCTGGGGACAGCGCCACTGAGCCGTGCCCTGGCTGCAGGCCCGGCTGCTGTGCCTCCCCGGGGATGCGCTACAACTCCTCCAGCGCCTTCCCCGACGAGATCCTCAACTTCGTCAAGACGCACCCGCTGATGGACGAGGCGGTGCCGGCCCTGGGCAACGCCCCCTGGATCCTCCGCACCATGACCCGGTGGGTGCCCGGGGGGCTGGGGGCACTGGGAGGGGCTGGGAGGGGCTGGCCAGGGCCTCCTGTGCTGCCTTTCCATGCTTGTGCCAGCACTGGGAGAGCTGATAAATCTCAGACACTTTGCAGTCAAGATTGTCTCGTCCTAATTAAATCTGCCTTAATTGCTGCTTGATGGGGAATTAATCAAGCTGCGCTCTTGGGCCACAGCCTCCCGCCGGCAGGGCAGCCGGGGCGTGAGCAGGGATGGGGACAGGGACAGGAATGGGGACAGGGACAGGAATGGGGACAGGGACACGGAATGGGGACAGGGAGCTGAGGATGGGGGGCTGGGAATAGGGACAGGGATGTGGGGCTGGAGCTGGGGACATAGGGCTGGGGACGGGGACATGGAGATGGGGATGTGGGGCTGGGGGCCTCATCCTTTCCCCTCCCTGGGGACCCCTGGATTCCCCCACACCCCAGCACTGCTCCCTCCCCCTCGCAGGTACCAGCTCCGTAAGATCGTGGTGGACAACACGGCGGGGCCCTGGGGCAACCACACCGTGGTGTTCCTGGGCTCCAGCACCGGCACCGTGCTCAAGTTCCTCATCCTGCCCAACGCCACCAGCAGCCCTGTGCCCGCTGCCCCTGGCAGCCAGAGCATCTTCCTGGAGGAGTTTGAGACCTACCAGCCTGGGAGGTGAGTGCCAGGGTGCCAGGGGAAGGAGAGGGGGCAGTAAAAGGGGTGGGTGGGGTGCTTGGATGGATGTTGGATGAATGGATGGATCCATGGATGGATGGATGGATGGATGGATCCATGGATGGATGGATGGATGGATGATGGATGGATCCATGGATGGATGGATGGATGGATGGATGGATGGATGGATGGATGGATGGATGAGAGGGATGCAAGGCTGGGGGGAATGCATGAGGAAATCTCCTCTGGACTGGGCCAGGCTCTGTGGAGGGCCCCCCAGGGCTAGGGCTATGACGAGCTCTGCCCTGTCCCCAGGTGTGGCCGGGACACGGAGGACGAGCGGCGGCTCCTGGGGCTGGAGCTGGACAAGGCTGCGGGGTCCCTGCTGCTGGCCTTCCCCCCGTGCGTGGCCAGGGTGCCCGTGGCTCGCTGCCAGCAGCACTCGGGCTGCATGAAGTGAGTGCCTGGGGCTGGGCAGGGCTCGGCACGGCTGGGAACATGGCTGGGGAAACTGAGGCACAGCACGGGCCAGGGACAGAGTCCCTTGTGGAGACCGGGCTGTTGTGTCCCCCCATCGGGGCTGACCCTGACATCTCTGCTCCCTGCCAGGAACTGCCTGGGGAGCCGGGATCCCTACTGTGGCTGGACACCCGAGGGCTCCTGCATCTTCCTGGAGCCCAGCCCCAGGTAACGCTGCCGGCCCTGGGGACGTGCAGGGGGACAGTGGTGTCCCCAGAGAGCTCCTGCAGCCCCCAACCAACTCATTGCTCGCTGAAGGGAGCTGGGAGACCCTGCCAGGCCATTTGGGGCCCACTGACCCCCTCAATTTGCACCCCCAGGGTGGCCTTCGAGCAGGACATCGGCGGCGGCAGCACGTCCCACCTGGGCGAGTGCGAGGGTGAGTGCGGGGCCGGCACCGGGCTCGGGGACGCGGTGGCGGCACCCGCAGGTCCCTGACGTGTCCCCAACGCCAGGGCTGGTGACGGAGAGCTTCGTGGACGAGCCGGACGGGCTGGTGTCGGTGAACCTCCTGGTGATCTCCTCCGTCGCCGCCTTCGTCATCGGCGCCGTCATCTCCGGCTTCAGCGTGTGCTGGTTCATCGGGCACCGGGACCGCAAGGAGCTGGCGCGGCGCAAGGACAAGGAGACGATCCTGGCGCACAGTGAGTCGGTGGTGAGCGTCAGCCGCCTGGGCGAGCGGCGGGCACGGGGAGCTCTGCTGGCCCCGCTCATGCCCAACGGGTGGCCCAAGGAGCTGGGCAAGGTCACCCAGCACGACCTGGACTCGGGGGTGCTGCCCACGCCGGAGCAGACCCCGCTGCAGCAGAAACGCTGCCCCGGCGCCCTCCAAAACTGCACCTGGGAGCAGAGTCACAACATCATCAACGCGGCTTTGCGGGACCCTGGAGGCGGCTCCGGCCCCGCGGGCGCCGGGCGGGGGCACGGCGGCTCCGGCCGCCCGCCGCGGGGCATCCCCCTCTCCTGCCACGCCATCCTGGTGGACCAGGAGCTGGAGGCCGAACTCAGCGACTCCTCAGGTGACGGGCACTGGGGTCGAGACCCTCAGGAGGGGCCCCGCACCCGGCAGCACCCACCCGCCGGCGCCCGCCGCCCGCCCCGCGGCTCCTACGGCGACTTCGGCGGGACGCCGCACCCCAGCCCCGAGCGCCGGCGGGTGGTCTCGGCACCCAGCGGGGAGGGGGGAGACTTTACCGAGGGGCCGCCCTGGCACCCCGAGCAGCTGAACTTCAACGCCAACAACGGCACGGGCCGCCCCGGCGCCCACCTCAAGAGGAACCACACGTTCAACAGCGGCGAGGCGGCGGCGGGCGGCTACGGGCGGCACGGGACGGCAGCGCGGGCAGCGCGGGCACCGGGCACCCCGCGGCCGCTGACGGACCTGCACCACCTCCTGCGCTACGGCGTGGAGCGGACTCCCTCGGGAAAATAGGGTGCCAGCCTGTGTGCGTGCCCCCGGCCAGGACACTGATGGGGACCCCGGCTCCCTGGGGACAGGGACGGGCGGCGGGGCAGGAGCTGCGGGCGTGGGGTGAGGGGGGGACAGGCACCCCCTGCGTGCCCCCGGCTGGCGTGGGGCAGTGCCCTGCGCTCCGGCTGCGTTGTTGTCCCTTGTGCCGGGGTGGACCGTCCACCGTGTCCCCTCCCCAGGCCGGAGCCAGGGCCCGCAGCACCCTGGGAGGGGCGTGCCTGGGGGGCAGCAGGATGGACAGACGGACACGGGCACTGGGCTGTGCCCCCCAGCCCGCAGCCCCGCAGTGGCACCTGGGGGTGCTTTGGTTGTGGTGATGGAACCTGGTGAGCATTTTGGGTGCGGGGGGCTGGGGGCCCCCCGAGTGTGGCGTTATCTGGGGATGGGGCACATCCCACCCCCAGTCTGGGGTCAGCCCTGTCCCAGTGCCAGCCTGGGGGTTGCCCATCCTTCCCCCCCGGCACCACCCCCTCCTGGAAAGCACAGCCGGGGTGGGGGGCACCGCGGGGGGGTCCCCACCGAACCCACTCTCTGCTGGCAAAGGGTGCCCTTTCGGTGCCACCCCTGCCCGGCACCCACCCGGGGTGGCGTGTCGCGGGGGAGTGGCAGGTCCCCGGGGGATGGCAGGTCCCCAGGGGGTGGCAGGCTGTAAATAGGGCAGGGGGCGGCGGGAGCCCCCCCCCCCCCAGCGGCCATGCATGCGGCCGCCCGCGGGCTGTACCCCGCGGCCCCAATAAACACCCGGTTACCGGAGGCGACTCCCCCGCCGCCGCCTCGGCATCTTCTTAACCCCCCCCGGGAGTCGGGACCGGCCGGGGGAGGGAGGCACAGGGCAGGGGGGGCACGGGGTGGCACCCGCTCCGTGGGCACCCGCACACCCAGCGCGCACACGCGCACCCACCCGCGCACCCGGCCCCACGAATGTCCCCACCCTATTTCCCCACGAATTCCCCTGGGATAAGGCGGTGCCACCCCACGCCCGCCGTGTCCCCTGCCTGTCCCCTTTCCCGGCTGTCTCTCGCCCCCCGAGGCCACCCACGGGGGTCACCCACGTTCCTCTGTCCCCTGGCCTGAGCACCCGCAGGGGCTGGGGACACTCGACACCCTGAGGTGGCACGGGAACACCTGGGGTGGGCACATCTGGCAAAGGGACACTTGAAGTGGCGTGGGCACACCCGGCTTTGGGTTCCTTGGGGTTGGGGGCGCCAATCATTGGGTCCCTTAGCGTGGGGACACCGGGGGCTGGGGACATCAGGCTTGGGGACACCTCGGCTGGCGGCTATCGGGTCTCCCGGAGTTGGTTCACCTGGGATGGGGACGCTTGGAGAGGGTGGGGACAGCGGCCACTGAGTCCCTTGAGGTGGGAACAAGTGGCAAGGGCACACGTGGCAAGGGGACACCTGCGCTGGGGACACCGGGGGAGGGGATAACGGGGGCGGAGACGCCTGGGGCGGGGGTGGGACACCGGCCACGGGTTCCTCGGCGCGGGGACACGTGAGGGGTGAGCGGGGGCTCGTTCCCGCCGCCCGGGCTGGGCTGTCCCCGCTGTCCCCGCCGCTGTCCCCGCTGTCCCCGCTGTCCCCGCTGTCCCCGCCGCCGTCCCCGGACCCCGTGGCGAGCGCGCCCCATCCCCAAGCCACGCCCCCGTCCCTCCTCATTGGCTGCGATCCGGCCCCGCCCCTTCTCTGATTGGCTCCCGCCGCTCCCCGCGGGTCCGGGCTGGGCGGGGCCCGGGGTCGCGATCTCGCCCGGGGGTCGCGACAGAACCACACCCCCAGCCCCGTGAGTACCGAGCCCGGGGCTTGGCGGGAGCGGGAGGGCGGGAAACGGGGCCGGGGGCGTCCCTGGAGGCTCTGGAAACGCTCCGGGGGGGGCTCCGGGTGGTCCCGGCGGGAGTTCGGAGGTCCCCGGGGGCCTCCGGGGGGTGCAGGGGAGGTCGGGGGTCCCAAGGTCCCCGGAACACCCCAGGGACACCAGAGGGACACCGAGAAACTCCGGGGGACGGCGCAGGGTCCCAGGAGAGCTCTCCCCCGCAGTGACCCGCCTGAAGCCCCCCGAATCCCCCCGGAACTCGTCCCCGGAGAGCACAGGGTCAGCTCGGGGGTGCCACGGGAGACCCCAAAGGGCAGAGGGGCTGCCGGGGGTCCGGAGGGGCGGCCGGGGTCCGGAGGGGCTGCCGGGATCCGGGGAGGCTGCCGGGGTCCGGGGAGGCTGCCGGGGCTCGGATCCCTGCGGGGGCTGCCCCGGCCGAGGCGGCGGTGACGGGCGGCACGTCCCCAGTCCCCAGCGCGGGATTGCGACAGACCAGTCCGGTCTGGCTTCGCTGAATCACCCAAAAACCCCTCCCCGGCCCAAAAGGGGGTGTGGAGATCCCGGAGGGGGTAGGGGGGTCCAAGGGGAGTTGAGGGGAGCCAGTCCCCCCGTTTCCTGGCAGGGAAGGAGGCCAACCCCATCCCAAAACCCCTCTCAGATCCCTCAAAACAGCACCGAGAGCCCCTCAGAACCCACCAGCCACTCCCACTCCGGTCAGGAGTTGGGGGCTCTTGGCCCTCGGGGAGCAAGGGCTGCGGGGTGCTGGGGGTGTCATCCCCAGGGGGATCCCCACCAGTCTCACCCACCCATGGCCCCTCCAAAATCTCCCTGTCCCCATCACAGCCGCCGCTGCCATGTCGGCCGAGAACGCTGCGGCGCCGGCCGAGCCCGGCCCGGAGACACAGGTAGGGGGGCATGGAGGGTTCGGGGGGGCTGCGGGTGCCTCTGGGGACCCCATCTCATTGTCCCCCACCCTCAGAGCGTGGTGAGCCGCGTGGCCAGCCTGCCCCTGGTGAGCTGTGCCTGCGGGGCCGTGGCCTCGGCGTACGGGCGCACCAAGGAGCGGCACCCGTGCGTGGGCTCCGTCTGCCGCGTGGCTGAGAAGGGCCTGAGGACGCTGACAGCGGCGGCAGCCAGCGGGGCCCAGCCCCTCCTCACCCGGCTGGAGCCCCAGAGTGAGTGCAGGGTGGGGCACAGCACCCTACGGGGATGGGGGACCCCAAAACTGGCTGAAGAACCAGGAGAGGGAGGACCTGGTTTCGCATCTCCAGTTTTGTATCAGCAATGAATACAGGGCTGGACAAGCTGGAGGGTTGGAGGGGAAACACCCCACAGGTTTTGGGGTAGCCCAAAACCCTGCCCTGGCAGAGCTCCTGCAAGGCAGCAGGGTGCTAAACTCACCTCTTTTCCCATCCCCAGTTTCCACCGCCAACAAGTTTGCCTGCAGAGGGCTGGACAAGCTGGAGGAGAAGCTGCCCATGCTGCAGCAGCCCCCCGAGAGGGTAACGCCACCCAGGGGGCACGGGCAGGGCTCCGGGGCTGGCTGAGCAGTGGGGACAAGCTGTCCTCGGGCTGTCCCCTGGCAGGTGGTGGCCGGGACCAGGGAGCTGGTGTCGGGCACGGTGAGCGGGGCCGTGGCCAGGACGCGCTCGGCGCTCGGGGCCGTGGCGGGCGTGGGGCGGCTGCTGGCCACAGGCGTGGGCACCGTGCTGGGCAAGTCAGAGGAGCTGCTGGATCGGTACCTCCCTGGGACAGAGGAGCAGCTGGGTGAGTGCCCACCATCTCCCAAAGCTCCCAGTGCCAGGCCCTCACCCTGTTGCTCAGTCTTGGCATTGGCTATACTTGGTGGTGGTCCCACAGTGGTGCCAGTGAGGTCACCGTGACCCCACACAGGGGACAGTCCCTGTCTGAAGGACAGGGGATGGCACTGCGTGAACTCTCACCTGGAAACCCAAGAGCAGATATAGTCCCGTGTGCCCGCCTGGGTATTTATAGCCTGGCACTGGGTGACATTAGCAGAGCTGGCCCCATGTCACAGCTGAGGTGACCGCAGAGGCCACCTGGCGCTTAGGGTGGCATCTCCACATGACCTGGTGGCCAAGCATCCTGCGAGTGCCCATGCTGGGCTCCAGTGCCCAACACAGGATGGCCCAGCCACGCTGCCCTCACCCCTGGTCCCACAGCAGCAGCAGGCACAGAGGTAACCACGGGCACGGAGGTGACCAGAGGCAGCGAGGTGACCACAGGCACGGAGGTGACCACGGGCACAGAGGTGATCAGGGGCACGGAGGTGACCATGGGCACAGAGGTTACCAGGGGCACGGAGGTGACCGCAGGGACAGAGGTGACCAGGGGCACGGAGGTGGCCCCGCAGGAGCGGCAGAGGCGGTGGCAGAGCTACTTTGTCCGCGTGGGCTCCCTGTCAGCCAGGCTGCCACACCGGGCCCTGCGGCGCTCGCTGGGCGACCTGCAGCGGGCACGGCTCCGTGCCCAGCGCCTCCTGGGCCAGCTCCACCACGTCATCCGGCTGGTAAGGATGGGGCAGGGACCGTGCCAGCCTCGTGCCGGCCCCAGGCACCCCCAGGTGTGCTCCCACCTGGCTGAACCTCCCCCCAGATCGAGGAGGGGCAGCAGGGCACGGATGGGCCCTGGCACAGCACCCGGGAGCACCTGCATCACCTGTGGCTGGAGTGGAGCCAGCAGGACGCGGTGCCCATGGAGGACAGCGAGGTACAGGGTGGAGGGACTGTGGGGGACACATCTGGAGAGGGTGGAACAGCAGCCATCGAGTCCCTTGGGGTGGGGACACATGGCAAGGGGACACCTGGGGTGGGGACACCTGGAGCAGGGGTGGAACAGCAGCCACAGAGTCCAGCTGTGGGTCTATCCAGCTGTGGGTCCATCCAGCTGTGGATCCATCCAGCCATGGAGTCCAGCTATGGATCCATCCAGTTGTGGGTCCATCCAGCTGTGGGTCCATCCAGCTGTGGGTCCATCCAGCTGTGGATCCATCCAGCTGTGGGTCCATCCAGGCAGGGGTGGGGTCCATCACCCCCACTGCCCACTGCCCACCCCGCAGGTGGAGGCTCGGACTCTGGCCATGCTCCAGGGGCTCCTGCACCAGCTCCACGCCGCCTGCTCCCACCTGGCCGTGGGTGCCCGAGCGTTCCCCAGCAGCGTGCAGGAGACGGCGGGACACGTCCGGCACGGCGTGGAGGGCATCCAGGCCTCCCTGGCCAGCGCCCGCTCCTTCCAGGAGCTGTCGGGGCTGGTGCTGGCGCAGAGCAGGGAGGCGGTGACGCGGGCGCAGCTCAGCCTCGAGGGGCTGCTGGAGCACGTGGGGCAGCACACGCCCCTGCCCTGGCTCGTGGGACCTTTCGCCCCCGCGCTCGTGGAGTACCCGGAGGACGTCCCGGTGGATATGTCCAAGTGGGAGGGCTGTGTCACCGTGGGGGGGACGCACCGGGTGCCCGCTGCCCCCCAGGTCTGCGGCCGGCACTGAGGTGCCACTGAGCTGGGGGAGCAGCCGCCCACCCGGGGGCACGAACCCCAGTCCCCCCAGCAATGAGGGGATGATGGACCTGGTGACCCGGCGTGGGACCCCAGCGTCACGGCCGGGGACTCCTGTGGGGATGGTGGAGGACACAGTGTGAGCCTGTCTGGGATCCAGCACTGCCCTAAGCCCCGGGAGTACTGGAATTTCGTGTCTTAACAGCTTCAAACCAGTTTAAAGAGGAAGAAAACAACTTTTTTGGCCTTAAAATGACTCAGAGCCTGCAGTGCTGTGGCAGAGCCACCGTGCCGGGATCACCGGGGGGCTCTGCACGGGCGGCAGAGCCGGGGGCACCCCCGAGGGGGGCTCAATAAGGGGGTGCCAGGATGGGACGGTGGGACGGGATTCCCTGGGGTACTGGGACAGAGGGTGCCACAAGGTGCCAGGACATCTGGACTGTGACCCGCAGCCGTGTGGCACTGAACTTTGTCCCACTTGTCGCCGTGGAGGGGCTGGGCCTGCCCGGGGTATCCCCGACGTCACAAGCACAGCGCGGTCACAACACCCGGTGGGGCGACACCGGGAGCCCCAGGACCGCCCATCGTCCCGCCGCCGGCACCCACCGGGGCCAGTCTGACCAGCTCCACCGGGCCAGGTGTGCGGGGGCACCGGGACCCCCGGGCTCGGGAGCCGCACGAGGGGAGGGGACGCTCGGGAGGGTCGGGGCGCGGTCTGTCCCGGGGGATCGGTGCCACGGAGCGGCGGGGGCGGGGGTTCTCTAGTTCCGGGCTCGGGGTGTCCCTGCAGAGCCGTCCCGGGGGTGTCCGGTCCCCAGGGAGTGTCAGTGCAGCCCAGTCCGGGGGATCCGGTACCGGGGAGGGAGGGGGGGTCAGTGCAGCACCGGCCGAGGAATGGGGGGGTCCGGGGGGGCTCAGTGCAGCCCAGTCCCGGCGGATCCGGTGCTGGGCCGGGGACTCGGGGCAGGCGGGTCCCGGGGGTTCGCTGCCCTCCCGTTCCCGGGGTTCGCGGCCCCGCGCTCCCCACCGGTCGCTGCTCCCGGTCCGCCCCGGGCCGGCCCCGCTGGGCGGCCCCGGTCACATGCGCTCGGGGCGGGCTCCGGGGTATAAAGGGCGGCGGGGAGGAGCGGGGCGAGCCCGGAGCCGAACCGAGCGGAGCAGAACCGACCCCAGGCACCAGCGGTGAGCACGATCCGGGGCCGGCCCGCGATCCTGGTTCCGATCGCGATCGCGATCCTGGTTCCGATCGCGATCCCGGTTCCGATCGCGATCTCGGTCCTGTTCCCGATCGCGATCCCCGTCCTGTTCCCGATGGCGGTCCCTGTCCCGGTCCCGGTCTCAATCCTGGTCCCGATCGCGATCCCGGTCCCGATCCCGCCTGTGATCCCGATCGTGATCCCGGTCCCGGTCCCCGGGACCCCCCTGTCCCGGGATTTTCCAATCGCGTGGGAGCTGCCCCGTTCCGGGGGGCGGTAACTTGGGGCCCTCCCTTCGGGAGGCAGGAGGGGGGCGCTGGGGGGGCCTGACCCCGCTCACGGTCCCGTCTGTGCCCCCCAGCCCCACCATGGCTACCAGCGAGCCCACGCCGGCGCAGCCCAAGGCAGAGGAGCAGCAGGTCAGTGCGGGCAAGGCGGGGAATTTGGGGGCAACCCACGGGGTCCCTGCTTGGAGACGGGGATCGGGGTTCTCCCACCCTCCGATGGGCTTGGAGGGCCACGGGAGCGCCCCAAAACCATCCCCGGGGTGTTGGGAACACACACCACGCTCCATTCCCCGTGAGATTTGGGGGTCCCTCAGTCCCACGCTTACGCTGAGCCCTTCTGGCCCCCAGAACATCGGGACACGCGTGGCCAACCTGCCCCTGGTGAGCTCTGCTTACGACATGGTGTCCTCCGCCTACACCTGCACCAAGGAGAGCCACCCCTACGTGCGCTCCGTCTGCGATGTGGCCGAGAAGGGCGTGAAGACGCTGACGGCGGCAGCAGTGAGCGGGGCCCAGCCCCTCCTCACCCGGCTGGAGCCCCAGAGTGAGTGCAGGGGGGAGACAGCACCCTACAGGGATGGGGGACCCCCCAAAACCGGCTCTCCCCGAGCTCTCGTGAGGAACCAGGAGAGGGAGGACCTGGTTTTGTGTCTCTGGTTTGTATGGTGGAGGAGTAAGTGGCTGGAGAAGCTGGATGAAAAGATGTGCGGGCAGCACCCCCTGAATTTTGGGGTGATGGAAAATTGGGCCTGGCAGAGCTCCTACAAGGCAGCAGGGTGCTAAACTCACCTCTTCTTCCATCTCCAGTTTCTTCTGCCAATGAATTTGCCTGCAAAGGGCTGGACAAGTTGGAGGAGAAGCTGCCCATCCTGCAGCAGCCCCCCCAGAAGGTACCAGGGTTGGCTGGGCTGGGGTGGGCAGCACACTCGGGGCCCCACAGCGCTTAACAGAGGTTTGTGTGTCTGCCCAGATCATCTCAGACACCAAACTGCTGGTGACCTCCACGGTGACGGGGGCCAGGGATGTGCTGACCAGCACCATGGCCGGGGCCAGGGATGCAGTGTCCAGCAGGATGGCCGGGGCTAAGGATGCGGTGTCCAGCACCGTGGCTGGGGCCAAGGATGCAGTGTCCAGCACCGTGGCCGGGGCTAAAGATGCAGTGTCCAACACGGTGTGTGGGGCCAGGGATGCAGTGTCCAACACGGTGTGTGGGGCCAGGGATGCAGTGTCCAACACGGTGTGTGGGGCCAGGGATGCAGTGTCCAGCACCATGGCTGGAGCCAAGGATGCAGTGTCCAGCACCGTGACCGGAGCCAAGGACGCAGTGGCCGAAGCCAAGGATGCAGTGTCCTGCACCGTGACCGGGGCCAAGGACGCGGTGACCAGCAGAGTGACCGGTGTGATGGACATGACCAAAGGGGCCGTGCAGGGTGGCGTGGAGATGACCAGGTCAGCGGTCAACAGCGGTGTCAGCACCGTGGGCCAGATGGTGGCCAGCGGGGTGGACTCCGTGCTGGGCAAGTCAGAGGAGCTGGTGGACCATTACCTGCCCATGACAGATGAGGAGCTGGGTGAGCAGCTGATCCCCACCCTCCAGACAGGGTGGGCAGAGCCTGGGCAGAGCAGGGGGGGCTCTGTGGGGTGGTGATGGTGGTGCTGGGACCCCCTGAGCAGCTCCTGTCCCACAGCCAAGCTGGCCACGGCCGTGGAGGGCTTCGAGCCGGAGCAGCAGAGGCAGCAGCAGAGCTACTTCGTGCGCCTGGGCTCCCTCTCCACCAAGGTGCGGCACCGAGCGCTCCAGCACTCCCTGAGCAAACTGCAGAGCGCCCGCCAGAGCAGCCAGGACCTGCTGGCCCAGCTCCAGCGCACCCTTGACCTGGTAGGACCCAGCCCCAGGCCCCCTGTGCCACCCCAGGGTGTCCCCCCTCAGCCCCCTCACCCAGCCGGGCTCTGCCCCTCTCTAGGTGGAGACCCTGAAGCAGGGCGTGGACCAGAGGCTGCAGGGAGGGCAGGAGAAGCTGCAGCAGCTGTGGCTGGAGTGGAGCAAGAAGCAGCCAGATGGTGGCAAGGACCAGGTGCCACCGGAGGTAGGAGCAGGGCAGGGGGGGTCCCCAGGGTGACCGGGGTGTCCCCCAGGCCTCACCGCCCGTGTCCCCCCGCAGGCGGTGGAGTCGGGCACGGTGACCATGCTGCAGGGCTTGAGCCAGCAGCTGCAGAGCTCCTGCCAGCCCCTGGTGTGCAGCCTGCAGGGCCTCCCCGCCACCGTGCAGGACAAGGCGGGCCAGGTCCGGCAGAACGTGGAGGAGCTGCGGGCATCGCTGGCCTCTGTCACCTCCCTGCAGGACGTGACGGGCCCCGTGCTGGCCCGGGCCCGCGGCCACGCCACCAAAGCCCGGCAGCTGATGGACGAGCTGGTGGAACACGTGGCCTTCAACACCCCCCTGACGTGGCTGGTGGGACCCTTCGCCCCCTCGGGCAAGCGCCCGGTAGAGCTGGAGGCGGAGTAGCGATTCTGGGCTGCTTCCCTCCCCAAAAAGCCTCGTTAGGAGTCTTTGCTACACCCCCCCCAGTCCCCCTCACCTTGTGCCTGTCTCTGTGGGGACCCTCCTGCCTGCCCCAGCTCTGTCACTTGTCCCCTTGCTGGGGACCTGCAGTTATGTGCCTTGGCTGCCCCAAGTGCCTGTTGAGGGTCCCCCATGTGCTTGGTGCCTTCAGACTCCCACCCTTGTAGGGTCAGAACAGCACAAGAAGCAATAAACTCTGGTTAGTTTTGCACTGGACTGAGATTTCTTTGGGGGTGTGGGAGGGAGGAATTGGGCTCTGGAGGAACAACCCCCCTCCAAGACCTGGGGACCCCCATGGCCTGAGCCCCCATTCCCCAGCCAGCCCCCCCAGCCCAGGGGTGGCAGGAGAGGAGCTGGCAGTGGATCAGGAGTGGGGTCCTGGAGTTCCCAGCAGTTGGGCAAGAGGCACTCGGGATGGTTTGGGCTTTATTTAGGTCTTGTTTACGGAGCGAGTGTGAAATCAGTCCTGGAAAAAGCAAACGCTGAGAGTCCCCAGGGCAGAGTTACTGCAGCCTGCGAGGGGAGGGGGGATCAGGGCATCCTCCCCCGGGGCTCGGGCACAAAGAGCAGGCAGCGCCGGGTGGGGCCGGGAGCTCTTTATTGGCCACGGACAAAAGCTCCGGAGCCTTGCAACACAGCAAAACCACTGAGCTGCTGCCCAGCACGGGCAGGATGGTGCCAGGGTCAGTCCCTCCCTGCCACACACCCTTTTTATCCTTATTTTACCCCAAGAAGTTGGTGCCCAGCCCTGCTGCTCCCCCATGGGGCAGAGGGATCCGGCCCCAGCAGCTGCCTCTGGATGGAGAGAGGATTGTGATGGTGGGGAAAGGGGCTTGGAGCAGCCCCTGATTGCCTGATCCTGGTCAGAGGGAATTTGGGGACCCAGGGGATGTTCTCCAGCCCTGACCCTGGTTAAGGTTCTCCCCTCGTCCCAGCCTGAGACGAGGACAACTTGACAACTCAAGAAAGAGACACTGGGGTTCCTTCTGTTTTTCATTAGAAAACCCTTTATATTCATTTCATGTCGGTTGAAATCACAAGAAATTAGGTAGGAGGGGAAAAAAAAAAAACCAAAACAAAAATTAAAAACGGGAGGGGGGGGGGACAAATACAGACACCAGCACAGCCCCCCCGCGGGTGCTGCCTCCGCAGGGACGGGACACGGGACAAGACCAAGGACATCAGCTACGGTGGGACAGAGTGAAGTGACTCAGGCAGGAGATGAGGCAGAGGCTGCTCTTCCTTCACAGCCTCTCCTCCTCCTCCTCCACGTGGGAGCTGCTTCCTCAGCTCTCCTCCTCCTCCTCCTCATCCGCAGCCTCCGACTCCCCGCGAGCTCGCTCCGGCCCGGCCTTGGGACAGTCCTGGACACTGCTGGGGGAGAGCAGGGGCAGGGAGAGCTCAGCCCCCTGCCCCTCTGCCTCCCCTGGCCCCTCTCCCCCATCCCAGCTCCTTCCCAAGCTGGGAGAACCCTTTCACAACCCACACGATGTCCCCAAATGATCCCTGCAGCCCCAGCCCCCCACACTCACTTGTTGTGGGGCTCCTCTGTGGATGCCTCCAGGTCCCCAGCTCCTGGCCCTTGGCTCTTGTCCTTCTCCTCTGTGCCCTCTGACTTTTGGGACAGGGATTCACCATTCACAGGACCTGACAGGTCTGAAGGGAAGAGAGAGAGGCTCAGGCTCTTGGACCCCCTCATCCATCCTGACCCTCATGGACTGAGGATCCATGGCCACAGACATGCAGCCAAGCCTGAGGGGACCCCAGTACTGCCCTGATCCCCCACAGCTGCAAGAAGGACCCCAAAACCTCCGTCCCCAGCCCAGAAACACCGCAAGGGTGGATTTTCCCTGTCAGTTCCTCTGGGAAGGCTCTTGCAGCATCACCAGGACGGCCCCAAACAGAGACCTGGCTGTGAGGGTGGAAGATCCCAGTCACCACTCCCTGTGCAAGAGCCTGAGCCAGTGTCCAAGGACATCTCCACATTCCTTCATGCCTGGACCAGAGCTCAGGCTGGCAGGGAGGAGCTGTCCTGAGCCAAAAAGCAGCAGGGGAGGCCTCCAGAGCCCGGGCGTGGGGCTTGAGGTTTGCCCTCTGCTCTCATTGAATTCCCCATCCAGCCCTTTCCCTCTCCTGGCACTCCAGCAAAGCAGGGCCTGGAGGTGCTGATCCCTCCACCACGAGGCCAACAGCCACCTCCCCATGTCCTGTGTCCCCAGCAGGACAGGGCCATGCCCCAAGGAGGGGACTGTGATCTGCCCAGACAGGGCAGGGAGTGGTCCCGGGATGTTCAGGGATGCTCAGGAACATTACCAGCATTTGTCTCCTCTTCCCCCTTCTCATTCCGTGTCTCTGCTCCCGACAGCTTCTCCTGGCCCTTCTCTGCCTCCCCCTTGTCCTTCTCAGGCCCAGCTTTGTTGGCTTTCTGGATGGATTCCATCTTTGGTCCCAGCACACGCGACTTCAACCGGGTGTAGACTTCGGCCGCTTTTTCCATCACGTCCTTGTTGGCCTTGTAGCGCCGGATCTACCCCGGGAGCAGGAGGAGGGACCCCCTTAGGGCTGGGGCCAGGCAGGCTCCCTGCTCGCCCCAGGGAGGGCTCAGCCCTCTGCTCTACCTTCTTGAGTGTAGCCACCACATCCGTGTGCTTCTGGAGGATGTGGGAAGTGACCTGGAGCGTGCCCAGCTCCTCGAGTGCGTTCAGGCACCGCTTGATGTCCTGCAGGGGCGGCAGTGGGATCAGGAGCTGCCCTGGGGGCACCTGGGGCCTCCCAGCACCCCCAAAGGGAGGAGGAGGAGCATTCCTGGGTATCACAGCAGGGCAAGGATGAGCAGGGATGTCCCAGGCCAGGCACTCACCGGGTTATCCACCTTCAGCGCAAACTTGATCTCACTGTGAAGTTTCTGGAGTTTCTCTTCCACTGTGGGCTCTGGAGCAGACAGAGAGACACAGCCCGAGATGTCAGGGCACCAGCAGAGCCCACGGCCCTGCCCAGAGCCCAGGGTCTGCTCTGGGGCCTGGAATCACTCCCAGGCAGGGGTTTGTGTCCTCCTGCACGTCCAAAGTTGAGCACAGCCCCAGGAATGTCTCTGGAGAGGATGGGTTGGGGTGTGCCAAGATAGGGAGGGGATGCCAGGGAAGTGATCAAAGCAGTGCTGGGAAAAACCCTGGCACAACCTCACTGATCCCTCCCTGTCCCAGGGATGGGGGAACCAACCCTGGAGCCCTCTCCTCTCTCTCCTCCCCTCTGTGATGGGAAGCACTGGGTCTCTCACCCTTTTTCTTCTCCACCCTCCTTTCAGGGATTGGGTCGGATTTCTTCCGGCCTCGTTCCACTTTCAGAGGTCTGTGTGAAGGGAAGGAAAAAGGGAAGATGGTGGTGGTGAACCCTCTGCTCAGCACTGGGCTAACAAGGGGGGTGGCACTGGCTGGAGCATCCAAGACCCCTCCACCCTGGTCACAGCTCCCTTATGCCCCAGCTTCCCAGGAACACAGACAGGAAAAGCCCCACAAGAAAGAAAACCCCACGAATTTCAGCCTGGTTACCCCCAACAGCTCTTCCAGCCCCTTCAGCTCAGGAGGAGGGGAGGAACAGGCCCAGCCCCTCTGCTGGTGCTGCAGCCCCAGGAGCCCCATGCCCACCCCGGGGTGCCAGGGCTGGAGCTGTGCAGGAACAGCCCCATTGCCAGGGGGAAAGGGGAGGGAGGGAGATGTGGAGCTGCTGACTTGTTCCGTGGCTTCTCCTCTGCTCGGCCCCTCTTCTCCTTCTGGTTTGGTTTCCTTGACAACTCTGAGGGCTGTTTCTTCACTGGCTTCTTTACCTTGGAGGATAGAACAATGCAGGGAGAGCAGCAGAGCCCTCCCTGCTGCGGCACACACGGAGCCACGGCCACGCCACAACGGCACCCATGGCCACCCCACAGTCACCCCACTGCCCTGGCACAGCATCACCCCATGGGGCATGGTCACCCTAGATGCTCCCAAAAGCTCCAGGGGGACAGTGGAGCAAATCCCCTGACTGTGGTGGAAGAGCATCTTGGAGATGACGGAATGGTTTGGGTTGGGAGGGAACATAAAGCTCACCCCGTCCCACCCCTGCCATGGGCAGGGACACCTTCCACTGTCCCAAGGTGCTCCAAGCCCCATCCAACCTGGTCTTGGACACTTCCAGGGATGGAGCAGCCACAGCTGCTCTGGGCACTCTGTGCCAGATGTGAGGCCCACAGCTGGATGAGGCATCCTGGGCCAGGGGAAGAGCTCCCACTCCAAGGCATGGATACAACCCTTCCCAACACCATGTGGGCAGCTGCAGGCTAACCCAAGACCACGAGGGCAGGGCCCTGCCCCTCCTGGAAGTCCCTGATGGCCTGACACATTGTCTATCCACCCCCAGGTCCCACGGCTCTGCACTCACCTCCTTCTCCTGCTCCAGCTCAGAGTCCGAGGAGGACGGAGCCTTGGCCCGGCCTCTCCGGCCCTTTTTGGCCGTTTCATCCTCGGCGCTGCTGTCCGAGTCCGAGTGCACCTCCTCTCCCTTCTCTGCCTTCTCCTTCCTTTTCTCCTTCTCCTCCTTCTCCTGCTCCCGGAGCCGGCGGATCTCCTCCTCCTGCTCCCTCTTCCTCTTCTCCTCCAGCTCCCGCCGCCGCTCCTCGTCCCGCCTCTTCCACTCGCTGATGCGATCCACGTCGCTGTCGCTGTCACTGCCGGGACAGGGCAGGCTCGGACCCCTGCGTGACCCCCAGCCCAGCCCAAGGGTGGCACTGTCCCAGCTGAGCTCACCTGTCACTGCTGGAGCTGCTGGGGACACGCTCTGGCTTCGGTTTCCTGCCCCGGGGCTTGGGAGGGGGTTTCTCAGCTGCAAGACAACAGGGACACGTTCAGCAGGAGCCCTGCAGGTCCCTCTGTTAAAACAGCCCCAAGCTCCAGAGGCAGAGGGGCTCTAGAATGTGCCAGAATTTGGGATGGAAGCCCAGAGCCTTGGGAATGCCTGAGCTGCCACAGTCCCATCCCGAGGTGGTGGCAGGAGCAGGAGCAGCCCCGGGGTACCTGGCTTGCGGCCCCGTGGTGCCTTTTTCACCGACACATCTGAGTCCGAGTCCGAGTCCGACTTGGTCATGTCCACGGTGGCATTGCCCATCTCCAGATCCGAGTCCACTTTGGAGTCGGAGTCAGAGCCAGACTCCACTTTCTGCAGGCAGAGAGCAGGG